TGAGCCTCTCCACTTCCAGCTTTGAGCCAGACTCTGGGTCCTGGGTTAATTATTAACAGTGATTCCTATTGGTGTTTGTGTACCGCTCAGTAGACCATCCTCCTTCCTAACTGACCTCCAGAGAGACTTTGTAAAAATCTCACCAGCCGCCGGGCGGTGGTGGCGCACGCCTTTAATCCCAGCACTCGGGAGGCAGAGCCAGGCGGATCTCTGTGAGTTCGAGGCCAGCCTGGTCTCCAAAGCGAATTCCAGGAAAGGCGCAAAGCTACACAGAGAAACCCTGTCTCGAAAAAAACCAAAAAAAAAAAAAAAAAAAAAAAAAAAAATCTCACCAGCCGATCCGGTGGAGCAGTGTAACAGGATTCAATGAAATTATCTTTTTGACAGTATGGCTGGCCATTTAGACCTGGGAACACTAGGGCATGATACCCAGAAGGAAGGCCGTTGTGCCCTCTTGTGGGGATGACGTTATTTGTTTGTATCTCTCAGTATTTTTCCATCAAATACCATACTGTGGGAGGTTTCTCTTTTGTGGAGGTTACCTCATAGACTTTTATAGTTCCATCTTGTTTAAATAATCTATGCAGCATTCATACACAAAAAGACACCATTTTTATGTTAAAAAAATAAGTGCTTATCCATATTTACATACAAGGGTACACAAATACCCATATATGTATGTATGTGTGTGTGCCATATTTACATACAAGGGTACATACATAAATACCCATATATGTATGTGTGTGTGTGCCGTATTAATATATGCAAGGGTACATAAATACTCATATATGATGTGTGCCATATTTATATATACAAGGGTACATAACTACCCATATATATATGTATGTGTGTGTGTCCATTCATATTTTCTCTGCCAAAGAAAAATGTTAAGCAGAAATCAGTTTTATTGCTTTAGACTAGACTGTATACAAATAAATAACATTTCATCGTCTTAGAAACTTGAAGAAGCTGAAAGGAAGAGCCAGCACCAGCTTGAGAACTTGGAGCGAGAACAGAGATTTTTAAAGCGGCGACTGGAACAGCTGCAGGGCCCTCAGGAGATGGAGCGAATACGAATGGACAGCATTGGATCAGCTATCTCTTCAGATCGCTCTGATTCAGAGCGAGGTAGGCAGTGTTTCTTTTCTGAGGACTCTAGAATCAGGGAGGAGGGCCTGCAGGCACCGAGCGTTTGCTGTTACTCACCAGCACTGTTTTGGTGCTGGAGACCAACGCCAAGGTGTAGCATGTGTGAGGACGGTCGGCAGGAATGGACTCTGCCGTGGTGACACCTCTGACTCCCAGCTGAGGTCTGTGCACCAGACACGGCCTGCTACAGACTTTCCCTGTGTGTTCATGTGCACTTTCTACTTAGAAAGATCGTTAGACTTCCAGGAAACGCCGAGTTCTCCCTTAGGGTACAGTCACTGAAAGCACGATGCTAACGTTGAGAAAATGCTAGGCTTTATCCAGATGTTATTAGGTTTGCCACTAATGTCTTTCGATGTATTTTGAATACTGACCAGTCTCTTTGTATAGCATTCTTCAATTAGAGATTTTTTGAAGTGGAGGGTGGTTATGTGTATTGGTGCTTTGCCATGGGTGTCGGGCCCCCTGGAACTGGAATTACAGTTGTGAGCTGCCATGTGGGTGCTGGGAATTGAACCTGGGTCCTCTGGAAGAGTAGTCAGTGCTCTTAAATCGCCGAGCCATCTCTCCAGCCCCTGAAATTGTTTTTAATGGTTTCAGATTATTAGATTCAGAAGAAGAAACACCACAGGAATGACACTGTGCCCTTCCATTCATTGTCAGGAAGAGACATTGCTGCTCTGTTGTTCATGATACTAATTTTTCTGTGTATTTTAGAGTATCACACCATTTCTCTTCCCATGAGTTCTAGAACATTTGTCTTTGACAAAATTCAGAACAGAAATCACCCAAAAAAAAAACACTGATCTGTTCATATCTTCAGCCACCTCAGCCTTACGTCACAAACTCCTAGAATTGAATACTGATTTTGTCTGTTTTTGTTTTTGTTTTTGTTTTTCGAGACAGGGTTTCTCTGTGTAGCCCTGGCTGTCCTAGAACTCACTCTGTAGATCAGGCTGCCCTTGAACTCTGAGATCCTCCTGCCTCTGTGCCCTGTGTGCTAGGCATTTACCACTGCTGCCTGGTTGAATGCCAATTTTTTTGTTTTTTTGTTTTTCAAGACAGGGTTTCTCTGTGTAGCTTTGGAGCCTGTCCTGGAACTCACTTTGTAGCCCAGGCTGGCCTTGAACTCACAGAGATCTGCCTGCCTCTGCCTCCCAAGTACTGGGATTAAAGGCGTGCACCACCACCATCCGGCTTTTTGTTCATTTGTTTTTTGTTTTTTTATGCTGATGATTTTTAACTTTACATTTGGAAAAGTAGAGCTCTTAAATCTTGAGAACTTTTAAGTATTAGACAAGTAACCTTTTTTGAAGATGGATTTCTTTTTCTCTTTTCTAATGGAAACTTCTACACATACTCAGGAATACAGAACAGACAATAATCAAACTCCCGAGTGTGTACCCATCAGCTGATGATAACAGATGTTAGCATTCTGCCATTATTGTTTTATGATTGAATGTAAAACAGCAGCTTTGACAAGTAAGACTATTGAAAAGTCCTGAGCTTTAATTCTTCTTTAGGGGAAAAACAATAGTTGACTTCCTTTTGTTTTTAAAATGTGTATTGCTATATATTATTATGAGTGTGACCAGGGTTACACACAGTTTATTTCAGGTTGTATTTGAGGGCTGTGCACTTGATTGTCTTGAGTGAGACCTTTGGTCCAGTTCCGAGCATCGCGCGCGGTGCGCACATGCACACACAGACACACACACACACGTACACACACCACACAAAGACTCACACACAGGGAAGGAGATGGCTTGAAATTATATTTGATGCAAGAAAATCAAAAGCAGATCTCTCAAACTTAATGGTTGACTTATTTTAGTTACTAAGTATATAGAATTCCTTATGATCAATTGTAGAAATCTATAGATTCATCTGTAGAGTGTTACAACCAAAAATTTGGATGCATAAACATTAATTTTCTATCTTCAATTTCTCTCCACCCCACCCCCCTTTCTAAAGCAACTCTGATTAATAAACAACACTGTGAATTAGTTCTTGGTTTAATACGAAACAGATGTTGTTAAACCACTTGGGTTGGGCTCTTTTAATATTAAGTACTAATTCTCAAATAGGCCAAGTGCTTTCAGTGGGAGGTCCAGACGGACTGGCGTCCAAGGGTTTTAGTAAACTTGCTGCCTAAATTAAGACCGCCTCTGTATACTAGAATTCCCCTTACAGAAGAGCCCTGCTTCCCAGAGATCTCTGATAACCTCACTGAACAGCCCTTTTAACTTTTGAAAACGCATGTAAAGATTATTGACGCCCCCCCCCCCCCCTTCTTTCTTTCTTTTCGCAGAGGAGATTGAAGTGGATGTTGAAAGCACAGAGTTCTCCCATGGAGAAGTGGACAATATAAGTACCACCAGCATCAGTGACATTGATGACCACAGCAGCCTGCAGAGTATTGGGAGTGACGAGGGTTACTCCAGTGCCAGTGTCAAACTTTCCTTCACTTCCTAGAGCCCAGCATGACAAGAGTGCAGGGCGAGATACCCACTGGGCCAATTCAGTACCGTCTCTTCAATTGGGTTCCTGATGCAGTCTCCTTCAAAACTAACCAAAACTATACTTGAACAAAAGGGTCAGAAGACCTGTATTTAAGCAAATACTTAATAAAAAGTGGGGTAGAGCCTCCCCAGTAGAACAAATATTCACATATTGGAAAGTTCGTAACAGCAGCTGAAAACTTGGGTGTGATTATCTTGAGTTGACTTAGTTGACTTAAAAGAGGACAATGGAGACTCCATTCTCCTTTTCTAGTTTGCTCACGCCTGTTGAGTAGACATCTAAGGACGGGGTTATGAACCCTTCCTGAGCTTCTTGGCCCTAGAAACAAAATCAGACTTAGAGTAAGGAAAAGACAGGATAATCAGGCATTAATCTTGGGTAGCTAAAGAGCTATTAAAACTCAGCCTCAGTTTATCATGAAGCCTGTGGATGATCAATTCTTTTAAAAAATGAATTTTTAAAAAGCTCATTTCGTGCTCTACAAAAGGAGAGACTCCCATGAAGCCTTTGGAAAGAGATCATCACGCAGCTCAGCTTTCTGTTGGATTCCATGCTAAGCCAGCTAACCTTACCTGCATTGTTAGCACTAGGGCGCCCGCCCGCCCACCCGCCCGCCCGCCCGCAGCCCTCCGGCAACTTAGGGGCAGCCCATGCATGACAGCCTGTATCACAGAAGGAAAAGCTCCATGCGCCTCTGTGTCTGCGCCCATTTGAAGAGCTGTGCACGCAGTATAGCAGGCCAAGGTCTGAGCCACGGCAGCATTTTTATTTGAGATTTTGATAACTGTTTATATGTGTTGAAAACCAAAATGACATCTTTTTAAAGCTTGTCCATAAGTAAACATAGATGTCTTTTATAGTGGAAAAAAAAAACATGTGGGGAAAAATCATCTATTTTGATGCAGCATTTGATAATGATAAAACACCTCACGCCTCACTCTTTATAGTGCACAGAATGAACGAGGTCTGGGCTGGGTAGACAAAGGTCAATGCTGTTTTTGTTTTCTTTTAGGATCATTCCCTTTTACCAGCTTTTAACCATCTGCTCTCCATAGTAGGCATCCTATCTTAGTTAACATAGTTCGGTTCAGCACTTGTCTCATTTAACGTAAAGACTTGCATTTTCTACAGGCAGTCTCCTTCCTCACACACCCTCTGTGCAGGTGCTATTGTTGCTCTTTAAATATTTTCAGAAATGTTATCTTCTAAGTGACATTCTAGCCTGCACTTTGATGTCCTGTGTTCCCTTTGTCTTTCAAACTCCGCGGTTTCCCTCTGGGCCTCTGCTGTGCCCTGGAGACCTTACCCCCAGCTGTTTTGACTTTGTATTCTTTAAATAATTTAACTACCCTTAATTACTTTAAAAAAAAAGCTTTATGATTTTCATAACTTATTGCTGATTTTAATGGGTTGTTAATTTCAGTCCTGTAGTTTTATTTTATGTTTAGATAGGGCTGGGCAAGGAAAAAGAAAATAAAAACAACCATATTTAGCAGTGCAGTCGAGTTGTGTGTTAATGTCAGGGCTATCATCTTGTGAATAGCATGTTTCCTTATATGAAATGTACCATCTTGGTCTCATAAGGCCTCAGTACACACACAGCCCATGTTCTTCCTGTCCTCCAAGAGTACTTCTTCCTTCGGTGTGCTGTTTGGGCGAAGTTCTCTGAAGCAGACGCGGGTGAAACACTGCATGCCCCAGATACTCAGTGTGAAACCTGCTGTACTTCAGTTGCAGGGGTTTCCTTCAGTCATGTGTATTTGCCGCCTTTGGATTTCTCTTTAGTTGAAGTGTGTCCTTACCATGGAAAGTAAGTGGAAGCCATTGAGTGGCTTCATTCTGTGTGTGTATGTGTGTAGTCCTGGCTGTCCTGGAACTTGCTCTGTAGATTAGGCTGACCTCTAACTCAGAGATCGTCGGCCTCTGCCTCCCAAGTGCTGGGATTAAAGGCATGTGCCCTCACACCTAACTATAGCTTCATTCTTCCATTCCCATGGTGATGACTGGCATCATCTTGGCCCAGGATTGGAATCTGGAGCATCACTCAGGCAGACTTTGTTTTGTGTATGTACAGGACGATGGGCGGTGAAGCCTTCATCACAAACCTAGTGCCAAATGTCAACGGGATGGTCCAACACTACTCCTTCCCCAGCTTTGCTCTCGGGGAGGGAAGATGCGGGTAGATTGTGTGATTAGGTATCAACTCTACAAGACAAATTAGCTTAAAGACAAGTTATGCAAGAAATAAAAACCAAATAATGAATACCCACGTTATTTTTGTGAATACCCTTCTCTGTGAAGGCAGAATAACTTGAGTGCCCACATCTTCAGGTCATCATCTCCTAAATGCACAGCAGAAATTTAGAGGTAGCAGGAGTGTGTGTTAAAGCTCCCGTTCCTGTTGTAGTTTTAACAGGTGTCTACCCCAGCTCTACAGCCGACTGTCCTTCTTTCCTGGCGTGATAATGGCTTTCAAGTGTCACAGCGATGTCCTCTTGGGGATCTCTGCAGCCACTGTATGCAAACTGAAGCCTGCCAGATCTCACTGCGTCATTGACCTTTAGGGTATTCTGATGCCTGTAAATTTTTTATTTTTTGAGACTGGCTGGCCTCAGAGAATGCCTACCTCTGCCTCTGCCTGTGTTGTTATATGAAGAGATGCAGGTTACTCCCATACCTGTTTACATACCAAAGGAGCCTGACAAATTTTTGCCTCGGTTTCTGGTTAGCAGAGGGAAGGAAAGTGTTTTTTTTCAAGTCTTCATGGCAGTTGCACTACCACCACCCAGTTTAGGATTACAGAGATTTTTTTTTTTTTTCAAGACAGGGTTTCTCTGTGTAGTTTTGGTGACTGTCCTGGAACTCCAGGCTGGCCTGGAACTCAACAGAGATCCGCCTGGCTCTGCCTCCTGAGTGCTGGGATTAAAGGCGGGCACCACAGCTGCCCGGCAAATTACAAAGGTTTGTTTTTTTTTTTCCACTTTAAATTGTTTATTTCATTAACTTAAAAGGTGAACAAAATGTGTATTTCAAATTTTATTAAACTTATTTACCTGAAATATATGTTTACATGGAGGACAAACAGATACAGGATTTCAAGTAACTTATGGGACAGTCATTATCTGTTAAAAATAGTCTCCCGCACACACACCTTTCCTTTTTACAGTATAAAAGCTAAATGCAAACTTTTGATGTAAACGTATCTCATTGTTAACTGTTGATGCAGATGGGAGACACATTGTTCACAGTTCAGTTAATTGACAGACACAGAAAGAAAGCTGTTCCCTCAGACACAAAGATGCCCAGGTCTCTCACAGCAGGACTGCATGATTCACGTTCACACCACATCATTTCTTCTTCCCCTCTTTACTCTCCTTGCTGAAGACTTGGGTCAGCACTGCCTATTTTTTGTTTTTAGCTTGGGAATCATTTCTGCCGCATACAGCATCACTGACTTCCGTGATGGGAACTGTACAAGACAGAGGCTGCCATTGTCCTGTTTGAGCCGTACCTGGACTCTGCCTCTGTACTCAACATCACCGTTCCATTCTCTGGAGTACATTTTGATTTTCTCCAGAAATGCGTTCACTCCAACTGCTGAGCAAACGTCCTGAATCTCAGTAGCGGTAGGGTTTTCTACAGCCTTACTTATAGGAATCCGCCTCCCCTCCGCTCTAGTCTTATTATTTAAGTGAGTGGGGTAGATACAAATAAACCTATCGGACCGGGCGGCTGCGCAAGCCACCTCCACAGGAGTCTGCACAGAGCTCCAGGCCGAACACCTACAAAGATTTTTAACAGCTAAGACTTGAGGCAGAGCCCTTAACTCTGGGCCATAATGTTTCCTGGTTCAACTATCCTGAGGGATGATTTAGCCTGAAACACTCTTAATGGTTTTGTTTCTTTCACTTGAAGCCACTGTCTTCCCTTTACCCATCCCACCTAAAAAAAGTCTCAGGACAGCAGGGCGGTGGTGGCGCACGCCTTTAATCTCAGCACTCGGGAGGCAGAGGCAGGTGAATCTCTGTGAGTTCGAGGCCAGCCTGGGCTAGAGAGTGAGTTCCAGGAAAGGCGCAAAGCTACACAGAGAAACACTGTCTCAAAGAAAAAGAAAAAAAAAAGTCCCCGGACAAAACCAAAGTAGTATCCCCAACATATCTACCAAAACCAGCGTAACACATGAAATATAAGTGCTTTATTTACATTTTACTCTCAGTTCCAACATGTGATAGACCCTGGGACAAATGACTTGTTTCTCCACGGAGCCCATTTCCTACTACAGTTACTAATTTACTGTCTTGGTCTTGAAATGTCAGGGTTTAAACCGATCCATGTAAATTACTTCCATGCCTGTAGAAGCTGTAATGTTAAAAGGAAACCAAGAGGTGATCATGTGCATATGTGTGTGGGTGTGTGCAGTTGTTTGTAAGCCATGCAGCTTTGGGCACCATTCTTTAAGCACCATATATTTTTATTTTTTGAGACTTTACCCCTCACTGGCTTAGAACTTACCAAATAGACAAGGCTAGCTAGCTAGCAAGCCCCAGGATCCTCTAGTCTCCAACTCCTTGGTGCTGGGATTACTAACAATCCCCCATGCATATATATATATATATATATGTGTTTCCTTACATGTATGCCTGGTACCCATAAAGGCCAGAAAAGGGCATCAGATTCCGTGGAACCAGAGTTTCAGAGATTGTGAACAACTATGTGGATGCTGAGAATTGAACTTCAGTCCTCTAGAAGAGCATCCAAGTATTCCTAATGGCTGAGCCATCTTCTCCAACCTTCTCCAGCCTACTGGCTTTTTAAAATTTCAGTAAAATTGTCTTTGAGACTGGGTCTCACTATTGGCTGTCCTAGAACTTGCTATGTAGACCAGGCTGGCCCAGAACTCAGAGATCTACCTGCTTCTGCCTCCCAAAGTACTGGGATTAAAGATGTGTGCCACCATGTCGGGCTCCCTGGATTTTTTAAATATATGAGTTTGGGGCTTGAACATGAGTTCCTGTGCTTGCAAGGGAAATAGTTTACCAACTGAACTATCTTCCCAGCCCTACCCACCTTTTTTGATAAATGCAACCTATATTTTCTCCATCCCTAATGTCAACTTTGTTATTTTGACTCAGTTTTACAGAAAAATCCAATTCCTTAAATATTGGTTCACGCATAAAACCTAAACTTGTGTTTAGTTCAAATGATCCACCTCAACCTCCCAAGTAGATGACTATAGACTGCACCTCACCTGGCTTAACTTTTTATATCTTAAATACTTTTTAAAAGGCTATGTATGTAAAATAAATTTATTACATTTTAGTGATTTTTTTTAAAAAAAAATCCAACCTGAGGCTGAGTATACTTTACAGTGATAATGACCACTGCATAACTGAATGTGCCTAGTTAATATTTAGTGACATGTTTGGCTATAAAAGAAAACTGTCTTCTTGGCCTATGCACCAGATCTAACAGTAAACTGCTTTTCTGGCTTTTTTGTCTTGTGACGCTAGGGAGTTAAACCTGGGTCTTTTAACACATATTACATAAATATTCTTCCACTAAATACATTGTACAGTTCCAAGGATATTTATCTTACCCTTTTCCAGCTGTAATTTATCATTAACAATAGCACAAGTAAAACACTACACTTTTACAGACACTGCCAACTGGACTGTGTAAAATGCTTGCCTAGTATGTACAAACCGCTGGGCTTGACTCCCCAGCATCCCATAGACTGGGTGGGATGATGTAGACCTGTGATCCCAGCACTTGTGAGGGGAGACAGCAGGATAATCAAAAGCTTTGTCGTTTTCTGGATAGTGAGTTTGAGACCAGCCTGGGCTACATAGTACCGACTTAACTAGAGTTTCTTCTGTTTCTTTACTAAGGAGAATGATTAGAAATTCCACTAAGGCGATAATTGGGATACTTTCAGTGTTCACAACAGGTACAAAAAAGCAGCACTGTTTAAAAAATGTAGCATAAGCCATAAAGGGTTTCTAAGACATACATTAAGAGAACTCTGAGATGGTCTGTTTATAAGTGAATAGACAAGTATCTTACACTTTAGCTGTTTCTCTGGTCCCACCCAGCCCCAAGGTCCTGCAGCCACTTATAATCATTCAGAGGCTTAATATTAATTACCAATTCTATGGCCTATGGCTCAGACATATTAGCTAGCTCTTATAACTTAACCCGTAACTGTTAATCTATGTATTGCCACGTGTTCCATGGCTTTACCTGCATTCCACTACATATTGCTCCTTGGATGGCGGTTTGGTGTCTCCTTTCATTCTCTCTCGGATTTTCCCACCAGGCTCCATCCTGCCCTGCCATAGTCCAATGCAGCTTTATTTATTAGCCAATGGGAATAACACATATTCACAGCATACAGAAAGACATCCCACAGCACCGAATCCTTTTTCTTGGGTCAGAAATTCCACTGCATCTTTAGGCTGGGTGTGGTGGTGCAGGCCTAATTCCAGCACTTGGAGAAAGAGGCAGGCAGATCCTGAGGCTAGCCTGGTCTACATAGTGAGTTCCTACACCGCCAAAGAACAGACTACAGAGAAACCTCGTCTCAACAAAACAAAAACCCTGCATAAAGTAAATACAGGGGCTGGAGAGATGGCTCAGAGGTTAAGAGCACTGACTGTTCTTCCAGAGGTCCTGAGTTCAATTCCCAGCAACCACATGGTGGCTGTAATGAGATCTGGTGCCCTCTTCTGGCCTGCAGTAGTCATACATGCTGTATACATAATAAATCTAAAAAAAAAAGTTTAAAAAAATTTTTTTAAATTAAAAATAATAAAGTAAATACAGGGCTTTGAAGGCGGTGGGGACAAAGAGCACATCAGTTTCTCTAAGAAAGGAGAACTGAACTAGTAAAATGACATGATTTTGGGCCCCAAGCTGAAAAAGTAGCTCTTAAAACAAAAAGTCAACCTTTCCAATGATTTTAACCACAGCTCATTTAGCTATGTTCTTAAAAGACTAATTTGGGCTGGGCAGTGGTGGCACATGCCTTTAATCCCAACACTCGGAGTGGCAGAGGCAGGCAGATCTCTGTGAATTTAAGGCCAGCCTGCTCTACAGAGCCAGCTCTAGGACAGGCTTCAAAGCTACACCAAGAAACCCTGTCTTGAAAAACAAAAACAAACAAAAGACTAATTTGGGACACAAATTAAAAATTAAATATTCCAATGACTTACAATGTGTTCATAAAATGAATTGTTAAGGTGCACAGTAGAAGCTACCTACCAATGTTTACTGTGGAACCAAATGACTAAGGTCTAAGATAATAGTATTGTTAACTAATTTTAAGTTGTCAACCACTACAAACCTATTCTCAGAACTGCACTGGGCCACACAAGAACCACCTTCGGGTAAGCTCAGAAGGCAACAGGAAACCCTCAAAGAAGCGAAACCTTGTCTTTATTGAACACTGGCTAGACCAGACAAGTGTTTACAATGTCCATCAGTAGTATCGGTTTCAGAACCACTTATATCTACACCTACACACACATGTGTGTGTGTGCTTCTTTAAAATAACAGGAAAGGGAACAAGATTACTGGGTTCCTTGTTTGTTAAAACTACTGGATTACCTGTTGTGCTCTCCCTCCCACTGCAGTAAGAGTTTTTTAATTTGCAACTCAAAAATCCTAGATATAAAGAATATTTACATTTACTCTCGGATTTATAAATTACTACTTACACTGACTGCTCCATAGTACAAATAATACAACTGAGCAGATACTTGTTCAAACTCTGTAAGGATTTTAAATACAAAACCTTGTTGGTTTAAACATACTTCCTTTTTAGTATTTCAGTTATTATCCAAGCTAGGTAAAAATCCACATCAAACTCTGAATAAATTTTTAGCTGATTTACTTCATATTACTCACCTCTGAAATGTCTGGTTGTAAACTGTAAAATCCTAACCCAAGTCATAAGAAAGTCACCTGTCCTGTTATATAAGAGGTACTCCTTGGTATTTTCAAGGGAAATAACCTCAGCACTCAACATTAAAACCACACTACACTGGACGGACACGCAGCCTTCACAACAAAACAAGGACTTTTAAAATCTGAGTTAATTTGATGCCTTTTGATTTGGTACCTAGTCTTCATAATTAGACTAATAAAAACACCACTAAATGTACTTTAAATTTTTTTTCATAAATCAAAACTATTATATAGTTAACCCACAGCAGTCCTCAGGCTAAGGATGCACAGCAGAATCATCTACAGTGTCTGCCGCACACTGACTTTGGCCTGTAAGTCTGGGGTAATGCCCAGGCAGGAGTTCTTTAGTTTGCCCTAGACACTTCACCCCTTCCCATTAAGTATGTTCCAGTGTGAAAATTAAGTCGGGGATATTATGAACAGCTGCTGTTTAAGGAAGTCAGACACTCACTGTCATTCCAGTCAATGGCAGACATCCCTATAGCGTCACCCCTACGTCAGACACTGTCCCTCTTAATACACATTAGCTCAATTCTTGAAGAAAATGAGAAGTTACACATAGGTGACTGGTGAGTCAGGATGCAGTCTGGTTTTAGTCTTAGCTCTTCTTTTATGCTCTACAGGTCTTGCCACATGTTAATTAAAACAGCATTTGCTAATTGTGATTATTGCTAAATTTCTGGTTACTAATTTTTAAGACTATTAGGTTAACTTCAAAAGTCAATCAGGCTTTGATACTTACAATCCATATTTGAATTCCAGTTTGTCAGTTTGTTTTAAATCTTTTTAAGAACTCCACACTAAATTTTGTAACAAAACACAGTACACCTAGGGTTCCTATTTAATTTTAGAACATAGAGAGCTTAATGAAGCACTTTCATTTGGAACGTGGTCTTTTTAAGAGCCAATTCCTCACCCCCCTACCCCCCCACCCCCACCCCCCGGTCCTAACTTTCAGTTTAGTCCAAAGAAACCAACATCATTAGTGCAACATTAGGATGTCCCCAAGGGCCACGTTTCATCAGACACCGAGCTGCTGCTTTTATGTCCACCTATCTTCGGAACACTTCTATTCCTTTCCTAAGACACAGCCCTTAAGGAAAAGAAACACACAGAAAGGAACCTTGTTTAAGGCAGATGGCCCAGTTACAGCAAAACTGCCAATATAAGCACCAAGTACAGTACTGTCTTAACATGGCAAGGCACCAGCAAACCACACAATTACACCAAGTGACTTAGTTTTCATCAAGGATGTCCTTGCCACTGTTACTGCACTACTTAAGACGTCTGTTACAACAGCAAGATTAATTTAAAATTTCTCATTTAGAAGTTCTCATGCTTTAGGTACTCCCCAGGCCGCAAGCCACGGGTAGTGGGGATCTAACTGAAGGTCTTACACACGCTAGGCAAAAATTACCACTGTCCTCGGCCCAAGCAGCCCATTTTCTGCTGTAACACGTGTCTTTCCTTTTTTGTCATAGGTATTTATGAAGAATATCCTGACCTTTTGGGTTAGGGAGGAAAAGAAGAATTCTACCTCACCACTGTCAGAAAAATTTCAGTTTACCAAGACAAAATTCGTGAAGTCATTTAATTTACAAATAATTTCATACACACCCATTAATCCTTTAGGATTCAATTTCTTATACTCAATGAAGGAATTCTTAAGGATTTATGAAGCATTTCTCAGACTTAACATTCTCCTCCCAGGTAGTTCTGTGTACAAGCCTAAGGCTCATTACACCACAGTTGGCAGCTACAGACTCCACCCCTTTGTTAACACACTGGAGATTTTAAAAACACTTTATTTATTAAAGTTAAACATACAAAAACTGAAATTAACACACACCCTAAAAATTGTCTTCTTCCAGTAACAGGAAGACCCTTTTTCTATCTGTGTTTTTGGCTTAAACTCAACTTGGATAACTGTGGTGCTCACTTATACCAACAAATGCTGGCAACTTGATCTAGTTAATAAAAAGTACAAACTCGGCTACATGAACATAATATACAGGGGAATTATGGTCAGATTAATGCACAAGAAATACAGGAAAAATTTAATCATGAAACATTCAGTACTCTTGTTCATTAATTTAGCCTTGGTTTTTTACAAAAATAGTATCTACATTGTATACAGGGCTATACATCAGCTTTTTGTTTTCCCATATAAACATTACACATCCCCAAAATGGTACCACTACCACAAGTGAAAAATCAACAAAGGAAAAAAAAATACAAAACACCAAATAAACACCAGAGAAGGGGAGCATATCCTAAACATGGTTTGTTTGTTTTTTAATATAAAATTCAAACTCATTGACAAAAAAATACAAGGTGAGTCAATTGTAGAAGTGACCTAACAGGCCCGGGAAACAAGTAATTCAAGGAATAACCTCAAAATAAACTTTGCCATTTATAAATTAACCTATACTCGGGCTTGTCTGGACAATGGCCAGGTTATCAAACTGAAGATGTCTTTAGCAGGCTGGCATTTTGCCATGATGTTCCAATGAATTGCTGGGATATGTCAAGTGCAAAGCACCTGAAAACTCCAAATTAGGACTTATAAAATGTCTACTTAACATTAGTTAAGTGGGGACCTGAAGTTCAGTAAGTCATCTAAGTGCTGATTTAAGCAGCATCTACCTAGAAAAGTTGTCTTGTCAACAAACTCTGAGGAACTGTGGTAAGTAGTAATGAAAAGTTAAATGATAGCAGTTATCAAATGTCTTCAAGTTTCATTCTACCAAAGCCAAACAATGACAACAATGTATCTTCCTTACTCATCTAGCAAATAATTTACCTTTAGAAAAATATAAGGATAAAAAGGTAAATGTAAAGCCCTGCAGAGATGAAATCCAACAGTTCTTCTGATTACTGAGGCATCAAATGCCTGACATTGTATTTAGATGTATCTTGATACTGTGTCATAGGCTTGTCAGCAATTCCACAAGTTCCTACTCCAACTTTGCCCGTTACACTTTCTGGTGAAGCAAAAATACTCCTCTTTACCTGGGAACAAAAGGAAAACCATTTTTGATCAGTGTGTGAAAACAAATCTCAACTTTTTTAATGTTAAAATATATTCAAGTTCTAATATTTATAAAACACGTGGCTTTTGTAGAAAATATCACTACATACTAATATAAAGCTACCTGTCTCAAAATGTGAGGTTTTCACTCTCAAATTCCTATTTAAAGCATGAGCTCTCTATTTTGGTCTAACAGAACTCTGGCTGTAAATGAATTCTATGGTGAGACATGCTCTGGTCCCCTGCCCTCTGCCACACACGTGATATACTGTGTACCCTAACAAACTTTGCCCAAGGATCAGAGGACAGAGCCAGCCACTAGATTAA